AGTTTGGGGACTCGTCTGGGATTCAACACCCACCGGTCTGGTTGGGGGGGATCAGTAAACCTGGAAGGCGTGGCCCACTGATTTCAACAGTCCAGAGGCCTGAGCCCTCTTCTGGGATGGCAGCTGCTGAGGACCCTAGGATGGATGGCATGAAACAAAGAAGGGGTGGGAAAGAAAACAGGATCCAGTATAAAAATAAATCCCCAGCAACCGTTAAACCTCATGTATGGGACCCATTAAGAAAAGAGAAGGGCTATCCTCGAAGTATTACTGAACAGTTGGGTCAGAGGAGTGTGTGTGTGTGGTTGAGACATACCAAAAGGTGTGAAGTGAGTGCAGAGTCCTTCTAGCCGTGGTTCCATATCCCTGCAAGAGGACTGGCCGGTGAAAGGACGAAATGGTTGTTGTGGAGCAAGAGTGAGGTACTCTTCGGGGTGAAGGACCGTGGGTGGTTCTGGCTTAAGAAAGAAGGTTTTTGAGTGGTTCCGGCTTAGGAAAAAGGCTTTTGGGTGACTCCAGCAGAAGAGGAGGCTCGGGAGTGTATGGAGAGTGTGTGTGCCAAGGGAGGACCATATCTCACAGCACATGTGTTCATTCCTCAGGATAGGGGCCAGGAAAAGTAAAAGGTCCCCGGTAAAGAAAGGGTCAGGAAAGACCCTAGGCATTCCTCAAGACAGTCCATTGGGTATGATGCTGGATATGTCGGACGAGCTGGGAGAGACTTGGGATAAGGATAAGGCGATTATGATCCAATACTGTAGGTATGAGTGGACTAAAGGTGCTATAAGATCAGACAATGTTTACTGGCCCCAGTTTGGTTCATTTGAAGATTGGATTTGTCAAGCATTGAATGTTTACGTGAATAGGAAGAAACTGTAGAGGAAAGTGAATATGCTGCTTGCTGAGTAGGGTATATCGGGCTATTCCTGGTCCATACAGTTAGTAGTGATCAAAGCAGTGACCAGAGTGACCAGAAAAAGAAGAAGGGTCCTGAGTGGGATCCTTTAGAAAATCCTTCAGGTAATATGATCCCAAATCCTCCCCTGTATAATCCCGGGGAGAATGAGGTGCAAAACTCAGACTCAGCACCTTCTCCAGGTCCTCCCCAGACACAGGGTAGAGCCAGGAGGAGAGAGGGTTTGGAGACACCCAGGGAACTGTATACCCTTAGAGAAGTCCCGATGCAGTGGGCACAAGGGGGTACAGGCTATGTGAATGTCCCTCTGACAAGTACTGAAGTACAGGAATTTGGGAAGGGCATAAAGAAACTACTAGAAGATCCATTAGGTCTGGTAGAGAAATTTGACCAGTTTTCAGGACCTAATATGTCCATATCGGATGAAATGCAACCTGTAATAGGGATATTATTTTCTGTGGAGGAGAGGGAAATGATCAGGCCAACAGGAATCCATATTTGGGACAGGGAACATCTCCAAGGGGTGCACGATCAAAATGGAGAGCAGAAGATGCTTGTGGCTCGTCCAAATTGGAATCAGAACACAGAGGAAGGAAGACAAAATATGACAGATTATCAGAATTGTATTGTGAAGGGAATTTGGGAAGCAGCACCCCGGGTGCAGAATCACCAACTGAATTGTTAGAGAGACTGAAAAAAGATATACAGCAATATTCTGGAGTTCGGTTAGATACTCCAATAGGGTAACAGTTGTTGAAGGCTAACTTTGTGACTCATTCATGGACAGATATTAGGAAAAAGTTAGAGAAATTAGAGGACTGGAGTGGAAAAGATCTGAATGAATTGCTAAAGGAAGCGCAGAAAGTATATGTTTGGAGAGATGAAGAGAGACAGAGACAAAAGACCCGGCTGATAGTAGCCACAGTTAAAGAGGTGAATAAACAGGGGGATAGACAGGTTACAGGGCAGGGATGTGCAGGGACGTCAAAAAGAGGTATGGTAATCATGAAGGCAGCAAGGGACAAGAAGTTCAAACTTTCAGGGGACCTCCTCGGGTGCCGCAGAAGTTAGGAATGAAGTTAGAGGGGAAGGGAGACTGCTTTTATTGTGGGCAGAAAGGACATTTCAAGAGAGAATACTCAAGGCAACAGAAGGACATTTGGAGTACTTGGACTAGGAGTCCTTTAGGCGTGTCAGGGGCTCTATCTCCTGGGGCTAGAAACAGAAAGGGAGCCCTTGATAAATTTGAAATTAGGACCTCAGGAGGAAGACACCACCTTTCTGGTGGATTTGGAAGCTCAACCGACTTGCGTATTTCAACCCCCCTTAGGAGTAGAAGTATCTGATCAGAAAGTTATTGCAATGGGAACTAAGGAGAAATTTGAAGTTTTTGTGGCACCTTCTGTATTGATACAAGGGAATGGGAAGACATGGAAAAGGGATTTATTAACAGTGCCCCAGGCTGGGACAAACTCTTTGGGAAGAGACTTAATGGGGTTATTTGGGATAAGACTAATACTTCAGGGAAAAGAACTTAAACTTTTTGTATTAAGTGAGGGTTTAGATATAAATCTACAGGTATGGGCCGAAGATGGGAATAGGGAAAGACTAAAAATAGAACCTTTTTCGGTAAAACTATATATGGAAGCTCCTGTTTGGATTAGACAGTACCCCCTCTCCCTAGAAGGAAGAAAAGGATTATCCCAGATTATAAGGAAATTGATTCAGGATGTGCTGTTAGAAATTTACATGTCCCCATATAACACTTCCAATCCTACCAACAAAGAGAAGTGATAGGATGCATCGATTAGTCCAAGACCTTCATGAGGTCAATAAGATAGTTTGGACAAGCTATTATACTCATGCAACAGTAGTATTGATTCATAATGCTTTGTATAAAGAGGTAAGGTACTCACATATGTATTAGTTAGGCGGGTTCATGTAAATTTTACTGTATATAAAAGCTGTAATACATGTCCAAGTCAGGAGGATGATTTATTGCAGCCTAGGTAGTTAGAGGAAAAAAAGATAAATATGAGAAAAAGTCAAAGGGCAAGCAAATGCTTAGATTTGCTTCTGGAGAAATGCTTAGAGCTTCTGGAGAAGCCTATGTACTTTCAGGACTTCAGCATTAGTTTACAGAAACTAGTTTTTGTGTCATTATGCTTAGACGTACCTCTAAAACAGACAGGGTATAGTAGTGCTCTGTTTATAGCAAAACTAAATTAATGTTAACATTAATTTTTTAGCAGACTCACCTTTGGTAGCTTTGACTTGTCACTTGAAATTCTGTTTTCTACATGAAGAAGATTATCTTTAGCATTACTTCAAGCCAAACTTATGCATGCATAAAGCTCAGTACTTCGAGTAAAGTGATACTTACAATATACAAGTAGTCCATCTTGGGGAAGACGCTGATGAGATTGTTGATGACAGTCAAGCCAGTAAATTAGTGGAGATCTGCAGAGTAACTCTGTGTTACTGATACAGTCAGGTGTTGATTTGCAGCTCAGGGACAGCTGCCTGGAGAGAAGTTTAAGTCAAATATAACCAGTCCAGACTTTGATTATGTAAGTGAACAGTAGGAAGAAAAAACTTTAAATGTTTATGGCATTTATTATTCTTGCCTGTGGATACAGGAGAGCTTGAATAGGTACGTGAGAATCATTCTATCTATAAACCACTAATTGATTATATGAAAAATGTAGTCATTTCAGGTAGAATCCCCTTGCTCAACCTGCTGCCTACAATGCTTTGGATACATTCCAAGACATGATTGGCTTTCTGGGCTGCCAGCGGACATGGCTGGGTCCATGTTCAATTTTTCATCCACCAGGATGCCCTAATCCTTCTCCACAAGGCTGCTCTGAATCCATTCATCCACCAGCCTTTGTTGATACTGAGGATTGCCTGTTCCTGGGTGCAGAACCTTGTACTTGGCCTTGTTAAATTTTAGGAGGTTCTCATGGGTCCACCCCTCTAGCCTGTCAAGTTTTCTCTGAAGAGAATCCCTTCCCTCAAGCCTTTCAGCTTTGTAGTATCTGCAAACTTGCCAAAACAATCAGATACCATGAGAAAATGGTGATCAAAGTGCTTTTCCTATAGTAAATATGGATTAGGGACGTTGGTCACACATCCCATAGTTCTCTCCTTACTGAAAAACTTGTAAGATGGTAAAAATAATCATTGGAACAATTTACAAAGGGAGGGAGATGCTAATGCATTGCTGGATTTATTTTCTTTTTCAATCTGATCGATTGAGTCCAATCATAGTTAGAATTTTTCTGAAAGTGGCAACGTAATTCAAAAAAGGAATTACTTCATATGATTGCTGCTCTAGATGATCACAGCAAATCTAAATTCCTAATGTCTGAATCTGTGATCATATTATTTATTATAACTGTCCTCATGAAGCCAGAACATGATAAATTGAAGGCACAACTAACAACAATTCTTAGTTATGTAGTGGATAAAAATACCCTCTTGAGGTGGAAACAGATACCTTACTGCCACATTCAAATAGCTAGAAGCTTTAGCAGAAGGTGCTCCTGAGTTGTGGTTTGATAGGTCAGGGCACTGCTATCTGTTGTTCAGACTATTTATTGTACATATTGCATGGTTAGTAGTAGTGAATTTAACTGTTCTGATACAAAGCCCTGTTGTAGCTTTTGTGAACCCTTAGGGGGAATCTGAATTAAACCATTGACCTGCAGCATGCAGTGGCTGAGTTATTCCAGTCTGCTAACTTAGCCAGAGGGCATGACTTAATCACCCTGCAGTGATTAAGACAGAATAGCTTATCTACCTAGTGAAAGACAGGAGACACTCAGCCTTTTTGGCTTTGAAGTTGTTGATGAGATTTTTTTTTCTGATCTAATAATTGAAATTATTTTGCTTCTTATCAGTAGGTGATATTTTTCAAGATGGTTTCAGCCAAATTTGTTGAAGGGCTAGAGAATATTAAGTTCTTGAAGGATTTCTGAAAAGTCATCATCTGGCTAGCCCAAAGTGTAGCATGCAGTTCTTGTCATCTCATCAACTGGAGAAAGCATGGGAGGGAGCAGTGGTAATATCTACACTCACTGATGTATGCATACTTCTCCACGATTTTCTTTTAAAGCCATAAAGCCACCTTGCAAGTGCCACTCCAACATTCCAGCAGCAACCTGTGTCTCCAGGTTGGTGTGGACAGGATTTGTGTTAGCACTGAAAGAGCCTATTTTGGATGGCGTTGGTTTTAGCTCTATAAAATACTTCACAACAGCAGTGATCTCTTAATTCACTCTTATTTTTCATTTTCAAAGTGTAATTCAACAGCTGGCAACAGATATCCTTAGAAGACGGCTTCCCCCCGGTCCCCGCCCCCCCCACTCCCTGGGAAATATAATGTCAAATCAAGTTTGTTCTTGATAAATTTACCACTACATGCAAGGGAGATTGCAGTTCAGTATTCAGTCTCACTCTTCAAGGGCGGTGTAGTAGAAACAGTTCTGGCTCCTCATCCTTTTCAGTAGTGATCGATTTCCTGGGAGTACTAACAAGCAGTCAAAATCTGAATCTCTGATAAACATCTTATTTTGTTCCACTCTGTCTGGGTGTGTCTTTAGTTTTCCTTCGTGATTTCTAACACTCACTTGTAAAGCTAAAATTCCCTGTTGTACTTTCTTCAGCAAGAAAACTAGTTCCTGCCTTTCCTGGCTTCTGGCCTCTTGTTTCTGTTCCCAATATCAATTAACTGCTCCATGAGTTTTGTCGGTGCTGGTATTTGTGGCAGAGTGCCACAAAACAGATCACTGTAATGGGCAGGACTCCTTAAAAACAAGTGATTTTGCTTTGGGTACACAAAAATGTGCAAAAGAAGAAAATAAAATAAACAAAAATAGTTAAATATAGCCTGATCATAGTCAAGAAATGTTAAATATTTGTGCTTTTGTTCCAAGTGTGTGTTGCATAGAAAGTTTGCAGATCTATCTGTTGTTTTCTTTCTTTTCCTCATCTAGAATAAGGGGCTGCTGTATATACAATGTTTTAGTGGTATTATAGGAAATCCTACTACAACATGATAAAGAGAGTATCTCGAGGGAGCATGACGTATAGAAGCTGAAGTATCTCTAAAGTGATTTGTGAGTCATTAGTGTGACATTGCTCCTGCTCTGTTGTGTTGAGTGATTTGGAGCACTCTCAAAGTCAGGCTTTCTTCATGCCTTCACTGAATTCCCATCAAACTTTCAGGGTGTGATTTCCTTAGGTTTTTGTCTGCTTCATTTCTTGACGTCTTGTTTTCCTGCCACCCACCAGAGGTCAGTGTAATGCCGAGAATGGAGAGGAATAAAGCCAGGACAATAATGCTGAGTTTCTGGTAGTTGCTAGGATTACAGGAATTACTCGAATGTAGCAGAGATATGTCTAGCAGTGTTTTTCAGTTTTTAATATTTTTTCAGTGCCAGCTGAATTAGGGAAAGGACATGAAGCCAGCAATAGTTCAATATGAAGTCACCTGTAGATAGTGAGACTGTTAGAGGTTGACAAACCTCCAGCAGTATGAAGCTTGATATGGTTCTCAGAGGGTGTTAACATTAATTAGCAGCATTTCGGATATTCTAGAGAGCCAAAGAAATGGTCAAGTCTTGTCAAGCTCTTGTCTCTATGACTCCTTGTGCTAACATACGTATTTGCAGTTTGAATGAGAAAGTTGTTTACTTGACATTCAGTTTTTCACCATGTATTCAGTTGTATATTCTTGTATTAGGAGGCAAGATGAACAAGTTCTCAGGATTTGTGCCTTTATCATTTGACATGTTCTTATCAGTTTTAATAGTTTTCCATGGAAGACTTTCCTGAGTTTCAGGCTCTTTTTCCTTATTACTACATTTTCCTGTGTTCATTAGGAAATAATCCCACCTATTTTGAGGTAGAATGCCTGGATATAGCGTACAAAATTCCGGCTGAGTCTGTACTACTGACTTCTACAGAAACACTGCATTATTTTTATTATTGTTCCAACTCTCATTCATTAACAGATTTCAGTGTTTCCATTCCGTTTCTAACAGTACCTGTTCATTAAATAAAGGTTTTCACTGGACTACAGTGACACATGAATTTCCTTCAGAAATAATGATATTAATTGGAAATATTTTAGGACACCTAGCATAAACGTTTTTTTCTCCTTTATTTTTTTTTTTATTTTTCATTACTGAATTTGTTTGCCATTGCATTTGCCTGTTCAGCTGACTCGTGCAGGCCCTTTGGAAGTTCCTTTCAGCTTTGCTGGTAGTCTCAACAACTGTGTATGTTAATTATAAAACCCAGTAAAATACTTGGTGCTTTAAGAATTCTGTTACATGTGTAAGACTTTTTTTTTTAGAAATTTGAGTAGCCACTGTGTATCATAGGTCTTTGTCTGGTGCATTGCACTTGGAGCTTGTTTCTTAGAGTGAACGTTTTTCCTGCCTGTTCTGTGATTTCTTTCCCTGCTAGAAAGGCAATAACCTAGGTTATCCTGGATGAAAAACATATTTTGAGCAAGTGTTTTGTCTCCCTGTGTTGTGAATTCAACAGTTGACTCTTTATTTTGTGGTACTTCTGGGGCCAAATATTTGGTAGAGATAAGGACAAGAAATACTTAACCCAGGCTCAGGCAAATTAGTAAACTAGATTTTCATGCTCTCTGAGCATCCCTGAAAGAGGACTCATTTAGTAATGTATAGTGTAATCTGAGCACCAGTGACACATAACAGGCTACTCTCTTAAATACACTTTTAGGAAAACAAATTTCCATTATTATATAAATAATTCTCACAATTTATGAAAAAGCCACGGAAAGTCAGTGTGGGAATTGCTTGGTGCAGAGATCTGCACAGCAGCATATATCTATTTACTCTTGAATTAAGAAGAAAACTTTAAACTGGTGCAGGAAAATGACACATTAGTCCTCAGCATAGCATCCACTGTTCTGCTGAGCAGTCTGATGTGAGCTGCGCAGCTGCTCTGTGGGGCTGGTAGATGAACCTGTCCCAGCTCCTGGTTGTGAGAATTTGTCATTTCTTAAGCCAAACGACTCTTAGTTTTTGTGTAGGTGGACTGATTCTTTTCAGAGAAACATATTTTGTGTGTATATTGGCACCATCTTGCAGTGTATATGGTATACACATCACACTTGTTTCTGATACATTCCAACATTCTAGAAATATCTTTTATTTTCAAAACATTAGTTAATGTAAATGCGCACCCACTCATTCTTACCATCATTTTTGTGGCTTTGAACTGTTTATTTGTTGTTGAAAAGCTCAGTCAAGGTGGGCACTGAGTAAACATGATAACTATTTGTTTCTCTGAACTACCACCCTGTAGTAGTGGTAGTGCTGGTAGTGTTTTTAGGGTGGTTTGTGAAAGTGGTGGCTTGTGAAACTCTTTCCATGGAGGTTTAGTCTCATTACGGCACTTTGCATGGTTGTCAGGAGGAGAGTGTTCTGTTAATTTGACACTGGGCACATTTGAAGATGGCTTCTAGGTTTTGTTTCACTAATTTTTTCAGTTTCCTTGGAATAAGGTTCTTTTAGTCCTGTGGAAATGGGCAGGACAACAGTGAGAAAGATTACAGTAACTTTGCTTTCCTTCGGGGTGTGTTCTGTTCAAAGAGTCCCTTGAACAGATCTGAGGCTCCCTACTTGTTCCTTCCCTGTTCTTTAATTTCAAGTGAAAAGGGGTGGAAGAGATCCCACATTTATTGTGCAGGAAAGGGCTTGTTTATTCTTGTCCAGATAATCAGGAGATGGTGTCTGGGTACTCAAATTACTGGTAGGTTTTCTTGGCAAATGTGTTCCATAACCACAACTCCTCTTTATAAGAATGGAGCACAACGTTGTGTTGCAGAGTAATGCATCCCTTTTCTACCTTCTGTTTCTATACAGGTTTGAGAAGTTGGAACAATTTCCTCCGCACTGATTGTGTTGCCAGCATTTCTCATTCTGAAAAGGTGCTGGCATGTCATTACTGTAAAAGTTGCTGCCTACGTACAAATGAGGTGCCTTGAAAATCACCATGTTTCTGTTTCTTCCCCCTGGGAAGCAGGGGAACTGGAAGCACAGAAATGTGCTGACAAACACACAAAGTTTCCAGTGAGAGGAGTATTTAAAAATGCCCAGCTCAGAAAACAACTGACACCTTTCATCTTGCCTTTTCTGTACTGTTCTTACAGTTCTGTTCTGTGTCCCGGTTAGAAGTTCCTAGTCCTGATGTGCTTAGGAGTTCTCTAATTTAGACTAACAAGGAAAGAAGTAGTGCCTTTTTAAATCCAGGATATTTCAACACATACCTATGTCCCTTCCAAATCAGAATATTCTGTGATTCTATTTCAAGTGAATGTTTGCTCGATGACCAGTTTTTCTAGTCAGTAAGCAGTGTTGTTTTACCTAATGGTAGCAGTGAGCCTTACTTACCCCTAGCCAGAGAAAGTAGGTATGCGTATAGTACAGTACTCTTCTGCTTATATGGTAGACCTGATTCTTCCTAGAAATCTGAAATGAATCAGTGACAATTGTTGAGGGATCCTGTGAAAGGAGGCAGTTAGGTGCAAGCTGAAGATGGCATGACAATTTATGCTTCTTGTGACCTGCTTCCATAGAGCCCTCAGGAAAGAGGGCAGGCTGGAAAAATTGCCTTGGCTTGCAGCAAGGAGCCCACAGAACTGGAAATCAATTCAATACATACATTTTTCTACCTTCTTTCTCCCTTTTCTTCTTCTGCCATACACCTCTATAGTATTATTTGATGACCCTTGATCTTCTGCTTGATTCAGTATATTCTAATATATTCTTTCTGAGTAGGATGTGAAATTCCAGGAGATTTTTCTTTTTAAATGACATTACTGTGGGATTCAGAGAGGGAATATTCAGTTGTGAGACTGCGCAGTAGTTGAGAAATAATGCTATCTCTGGTAGTAATATCAGAATTAACTTTATTTTATACTAAAGACGCTCATTAACCCTCACCATTATAGTTCCACTGGAAAAATGTGATGGTTTTACATAGGCTAAGATAATCAGAGCTTTTCTTTCATTCTGTGATTGCACATCCTCTTTAATTATCAAATTGCAGACTAGAAGATCATTTCAGGCTGCAATAAGAAAAATGTCAGTATTAATCGACAATATTTGTCCCATTCACTAACAGCAACTATGAACTATGAATTATAAATGATAAATTATATGCTGTGGTATTCATTTGTACTGCAACACAAATAAGTTTTCAATTCTGGCCCCATACACATTAAAACCTACATAGAATCATAGAATCATAGAATCATAGAATATAGAATCATAGAATCATAGAATCAGCTGGGTTGGAAGGGACCTTCGAGATCATCAAGTCCAACCCTTGATCCACTACTGCTGCAGTTACTAGACCATGGCACTAAGTGCCACATCCAGTCTCATCTTAAAAACCTCCAGGGATGGAGAATCCACTACTTCCCTGGGCAGCCCATTCCAATTTCTGACCACCCTCTCTGTAAAGAAATTACATAGCTTCATTCACCATGAAAACAGGAAACAAGTTTTCAGTTCTCCTTGAGAAGTCTTGGCTTTACCTTGATCTAAAGTAGCCACTGGTCACAGGTCTCTATAGAAGTTTGTGTTCAGGGACCATTGAGCACGTATCCAGCTTCATTTGCAGCCATGCACATTGGTTGCATAAAAGGCTGAGCCAACTGAGGCACAAGATCCCTCAAATCCCCATGCCTCCTTGCAGACATGCCTCCTAGCTGGGCTAAATACAATGCCAAAAACTCTGGAAAGGGAAGGGTAAGACTTCTGTTATAGCCTTCCTATTGACCGTTGTAAGTAGTATTGCTCAAAGTACTGTTGGTTTTTTTTTTTCTGGTGCTCATTCTGAATAATTAACTCTCCCTTTGCAGGGTACAGAGAGAAAGGCTTCAAAGCCAGGGGCAATGTGGCATCACTATAGTACTCTCAGCATTGTGAAGACTATATTCCTGTGTGGATCTGATCCCAAGTCAGCGAAGTCCTGATTCTACACTGCGACACACTAAGACCTGTGCATGTGACTCGGTGTGGGCATAAAGTTGGAAGTCTTTTAGAGTATCCTGATATCCAAATGAAAACAGTTTTCAAACATAGGTGTCACTATTTCACTGTGCTTGTTGGCCTATTTATCACTATGTAGTGCTGGCTTTGCTTATCAGTATGTACTTGCTGTTTCACTCAGACTTTCCAATGGAAGACTCTGCACCTGGTCAGGTTCAAATTTGTCATTTAAATGTCTGGAATAAATGCAGATTTCCAAATCTGACATGTAATTCCCTACTGTTGTATTAACCACCTCAGCTAATTACAACCTGGAATATATGCAGCTGGTCTGGAAGTTTGCCTCTAGACTGACAACCAGATAGTATCTTGTCCAAAATTGCATTTTCTTAAAACTTAAAAACTCTGCTCTGTGTCAGGAAATGACTACAGGAAAGGCTTTTGTTTCTCAACAGATCTGCTTACTAGATTCAGGAGAATAAACAAGCATCAACCAGCTTTTCCACCTGTTAAGCTTTGAGTCCACTTATCCAAAAGGAATGCACCAGGTCTTCTTTTGTACATTTTTCATGGAGTTGCTTACTGAATACCAAATTTTGTAAGTCCTTCGAAAACAATGGGTTTCCCTGTTCCTACTCAATGTTTGTTCTCACACCATATGAAAACAGGAATTAAGTTAGCTTGCCTTTCAAATCCCGTGCTAAGTTTGGGCCTGTCAGAAATTACTTCATTTTAATGCGGACATACTGATATGAAGGTTCCAGGAGAATAATAAACACAGAATGCCCAAAAGACCTGCCTGAGAAACATAAGTTAAAAAAAAGGTTTATTGTTTTAATATGGAGTTACAGAAGATAAATTGGAATATCTTAGTTACAATTGATACACTTCAGGGATGAATGGTTTTATCAGCCACAGATACCAATTGTGCTTCTTTGTGACATGTTTGGACAGCACATGTTGCCTTAGTGTACTGCTCAGATTTCCACTGCTATAGACAGTCTGTCATCCTGGCAGTTGTGAACTCACAGTCTTCTTTTTTCCTGCCACCAAAGTTTGGCACACGAGTCACTAGGTGCTGTGCGAAAGAAGCATATGGTATCGCCGTGACTGAGGAGGGATTCCTTGTGGAACTACAAATCCTGGAAGTATTACATCAGCTGGAAGCTTTTCTTTTTTTTAATAATTGTTATTTTTTCTTATTAAAAGGGACATGTTGGTCTGCAAGCAGGCACCTTGCCACTCTAACAGATGGACCAGGAGAATAGATCTGTACAGCACTCAAATGTGGGATGGTCTGATTCTCAGAAAGCTGTCACTGTAGCCTTTCATAGGGAACTTCCCTGGCATATGGCTATAAGGGAGATGGTACATTATTGCCCAGTTACTTAAAACCCAAGCTATCAAAGGCAGTGACCAGTAAAGTTGCTGGGTTTTTCTCTCTGGTGAATAGGAGATAGAATGTTTGGAGTTAACAAAAAAATCTTTGGGTTTCTGTGTTTATGTGAGGAAGAGATTGCCACGGAAAGCTAAACATGAGTAGTGTGCCATGACTGAATTGTAGCTGAGTAGCTTAAAAGAAGAATAGATTTACTTCATCAGCACTGTTTTTTCATTTTTGTTTAGCATTTAAAGATGCTTCTAAGGACCAACAAGGCTTGAAAGCTCTATGTAGTGCACTAATATGTGGCAAATAATACTTGGTAGTCCCATATCCCATGAAGTGTTTACAACCCAGAAGCAGACAATAGATAAGTGGTACTGGAGCAATCAAGCAGCTGGAACTCAGACATAGTTAACACAGAGACTGGATGTTACAGTGTATATAGTAGTACATTTTCTTTTTTCTTGGCTAGTATTAGAGATTTTACATTTAAAATGAAGTTTTTTTACAACTTTTCTCTTGAATCTTAGAATGAAGTATACACTCCTACAGATCTGATGAGAACCAGTGACTCTGTAGAAACAAAAGTTTTCACTGAAAAAAACTCCAACAGACAACTCAAGTGTTAGATGCTCTGTTCTGTGGCCCATTAACCAGCCAGCAGTCACACATACAGTTGGATATTAGCAGCTGCATGTTCTATTTCTTGCCTTTGGAAGAGTGTTGTCAGAGGATTGAGAACAAAGGACTCCACACCGTAGGAAACCTGCTTGTTAGTTCTACTACCAACAGAACACCCTGTAATACTTACACTTTTAGATGATGAGAAAATCAATATTTTCAAAACATAAATTGATCCAATGTGAAATGTAAAATAGGATCCTTCTTCAGGACTGCTGATGTATTGGTCTGGCCAGATCTATTTAGGGATCATTAAAGAATATTAAAACAGAACAATTAATAATATTTGATCAGAACCAACTAGAACATCCTAAAGTGCTGGTAGGGGGATAGGAGGTTGAGTCTAACTCTTGACTTTCTACTTTCATGCATGGTAGAGAGGAATGTATGACCTTCACTCAAGCAGACACCTGCAAGGTATTGTTAAATTGGGCTATTAAAAGTTACATAGTTTTAGCAATATGCAGCACTGCAGAAGCTGCACAAGTGTTTATTTGTGGGAACAGATTGTACAGAACCCTACACAATTCCTGCAGGTGACCCTGCTTGGGTCACCTGCAGGAAATCCTCAGACAGCAGGGTAGAGATGTCATTACCCAGCGCACACAGACCCAAAAGTGAGTATCAGATAATTCACTTGCTTTTGAAAAGGAAGAATCAGGGTGTGTGTGTATGTAAGCCCTATTAATTGACAAGCTTTGATGCTGAAGCCTAGCCAGACGTGTTCTCTGGCACAGCCTAATGATCATTCTGGATGCTTCTCCAAATCCTAACTTGCTTATGGACATACTCTCCTATTTTTGGATCTAATCTCCTTTTTCATTCTTTATAGACAAACCAAGTACCATTCATGGTACACATTCCAATTGCTTATTAAATCCAGCCTGGTTTTTTGGAATATCTCTGTCCATTATCTCTTCATTTTCCGTAGTGCTCAGAAGGGCCGTGCTGCCTAAGATGTGAACAAAATCCTTAAAAATTTCACTTCCAGCATCAAGAACCTGTTTTCTAAAAACCTGAAGAGCTAGTGAAAACGATGTTATCAGGTTACCTGCATTCCTGCAGAGTAACAGTGCCATTCATTTTCTGCTTTAAGGTTAAATACAAATAACTATCTGGGCCTAAGAAAGGAGGTGATTTGAAAATAAAGAGAAGAGGGATACAATTAAATTTAAATGTTAAAGGCAATCTGAAAACATGTCAACATAGTTTTTTGTTCATTACATTGCTATTACATAGTTGTTTAAAAAATTTAAAGTAAAAGCAGGTTCCAATTTGCTTGGGAGTAAAAAGCATTTAGATAAAAGACAGGTTTGTCACTGAAGGGAAAATTAAATACTCTAATGTGGATTTTTAAGTAGAGTAGAGTAGCTTCTAAAGAAGCAATATAAGGCACGTGACTGGTAGACTGGTTGCACAATGCAGAAAACCAAAGTGTTTTCTGACCATCTCCAGAAAAATGCACTTGAAAGCCAATTGGACCAGGACATAATATTTTTATTAGTTCTTGGGCATCTTTCCTCTCTCTCTCTCTGTCTCTTTTTTTTTTTTTTTTTTCTGGTTAAAAAAGGGTCAGAGAAAGCACTGTTTCTAGTCAAGGAGTCCTTATAAAATTATGTCACTTTGCCCCTGGAAAAATGCTATGGAATTCAGATTCAAAGCTGCAGATTTGCACAAATGTAAGGGAGTTAAGAAACTAGGCATTTGTCTATTATCATTATCTGATCTTAGAAAGATAAACAGTTATGTTAAATAGAGGCCACATCAGATCAGGACTGTAGGAAGCTTAACTTATTCAGCTCAAAGAGCAAGGACTAGCCACTTAAAAGGCCATGTGATTAAGGTGACTCATGACTGCCAGCAACATAGACCGGAATGGAAAATCATCTTGATTTGTAATACTAAACAGAAGCCCATATATATCATGAATAAGATGGAGGACGGGTGTATGTGAAGGACTAAAGCATGCAGGTTCAAGCGAATTGAAAATTCAGACACATTTTTTTCTTTGCTTTGAAAATCGTGTCCTTGCATGTGCCTTTTCATGCAAAGTCATTCCATCATAGTGTGTTTTGACTTAAGTGAAGGATTACACAACTTCACAAATGGACCCATGTTATAAGAAGTAGATGGAAAAGACAAAACTTCATGAACTTCATTTTACTGGACAAGTACCTTCTTGGTCATACACACTAACAGATGGTGGAGATGCTGAAGATCATATGGAGGTCTTGATACAACCTCGGGCAGGTTCATAGTGTGGGGGAGTAATGGATTTTTTCCCCTAAGTGATGGAATCCTTAGAAATTGTGATTCTTCCCCTTTTTCTGTAGGAGTTCTTATTAGGGGAAGAATGCTGCAAGGCATTCTGGAACCTGTAGTTCTTGGTACTCTGTTGGACATGCTCATTCAGGTGCTCAATGTCATTGGTTGAGAGGTCACGTGTTACAGTTTGATCTGTGTATTTCAACTGCTGTCCGTTCTTAATAAACTAATTCAGTTATTGCACTCATGTAGTAACTGGGTTCGTGCCCATACAAGTGCTACACTGTTTTGGTTTTATCTCTATGCAAATGCCAGCAGCTTTGAATATATTTTTAAAGTAGCTTGTGAAGTGGTTTTTGTTTTAATATAAAACTTCTTTTATCTAGCCAGAAGAAAATGAAGTTAAAGATGTGCAGAGCCAGACCTTGTCACATTCATGCTGAAGGCAGCCTCTATTTAGGCAGGATTTCCCAGCAGTAATGATGCCAAGGCTTTCTGACTATAATTTGCTACAGTTCACTATGGTTGAGGGAATTATTTTCACAAAATGAAGCTGGTGGAACACTGACTTTTCACTGAAGTTTGGTTGTTTATGTGCTTATAACAGAACAAAATCCAGCCTTTTTTTTTTAAGGATAGTCACTATGTGTTTATCTCATTAAAGTCTTGACAGAAAAGGTCACTTGTAGGAACTAGGTTTGGCTCTATGGTAAAAGATGGCACACACACGTAATGAACATTACAACTATTCTCTGGATTTTTAATATTGGTAAGCAGACTTTTAGCATTTTTTAAATAAAAATGTTCAATAAAATACAAATGGACCATTTCATTGTGGAAAAGAGACTATACTTCTGTCATGCTTTGTACGATGCCTCAATACTGAGATGTTTTTCAGGTAAAACCTAAATAAAGACTCACTCATGCTGCATTCCATCTGGC